CCGGTTTAACTCGCCTTCATGACATCAGGCATTGAATACCTCGAACCAGTGACTGCCGCAAGACACACGACAATCTCACGTTATCTACGACAGTATGCTCCGGCACCCGTTCCACTAGTCTCCTTCATTAACATCGAAGGCAGTCTTAATAAATCCACCTATGACAACGTGATTGTAGTCGATTTCCTTAAATGTGACATAAAACGATATACTGATTTCATGGAACGAAAATATGCCGACATTCCCCGAAATATTTTTTTACATTACACAACCAATTCAATTCTCCCACACTTTCATATAGTTACCTAACTAATATCACTAGGGGACTTGGGGTTGACATCGGTCCCCTGCCCAACGGAAATAGCTGTCCGTGCACACCCTAAGAATTGGGCAGTGTAATCTGAACTTAAACTGCAAGATCAGACACTTAAAGGCATTCTGCAAGACACTGGAGTACCGATAACACCGATCCGATGTCTTCCAACGGTGCCCTTTGTACTTCCCCCAACCATGAAATCCGGTGTCAACGCGTCTCCAGCCAGACCTACCGCCGAAGCCATTGTACATAACACTACACTCAGGGGTTCATTACACAGTATTCCCTACACACAACCAAAACCTACAACTGATCTTCTGATGGCCACGATAGCTGAATAAACAACAGCTCAACGGCTGCTGTTGCTGTCCCTAAACGCTTTACGCTACCAACCGAAGATGTGGACAGTGAGAACGAGAGGCGACCAGCATACATTCAAAATTCCCAATAACGCCATCCCTCCACTTTGCAAATTCTCACTTCAAATGAAGTCATTACTTTGTCATTTTTTAGGAAAAACGTGGCGATGGTCTAGCATATTTCAAATGTTTTGCACTACCTGATATATGGATGCTCACAGACTAGATCAGTTCTTTTGGTGATTCACAGTTTCAACGTTACAAATTGCCTAATTTGTGCACTATGTTTCAACAGATAGGAAAGGCATCCATAGCACCATCAAAATATCGTAAGAGTTTGTAAAATACCAATTGATTCACTTAGGAATTACAAGCAGTCTTATAGTAGTTTAAAAGCTAGCATTCTTGCAGACAACCTACTTCATACGAAGAGAGTGTCAAGACTGACCGAAGAAACCGTTGGGCAAGAATGGCAAGCGGCGGGTTGGCAGCTTGTGAGGCCCACGTAATAACCTCATCAATGCAAGTCTCCAAAGACAACGGTAGTTCTTCTGCGCCGAAGTGTCGAACTGCACAGTTAGATACTCTTAGCCGCTCTGACATGAACTTAGACAAATCTGTCATCACAACCAAAAGCTGAAAAGAACGTAGGATATGAATAACGCAAGAAGTTCATATAACTTTTGCTGAGGCACATATAAGACGAGCAATAGCAAGATATAATTTTTTGAGACCTCTATGACTTTAAAAACGTTACAATCCGGGCAGACCGCACTTTCAATATGGAAATTTCACTGGTACGACGCATATTTTGCTTACGTCAGTTAAATTTGTGGCGGAATTAACAAAATTTTTTGGGGCTCGACTTTCCACAAAGTCGACTTATACTGACATTTTAGAGCTACTGTTGAAAATTACACTCAGCGAATTCCTCTTATTGGCGTGGCAGAGGGAACTATGCAGATGTGAGCTTTGAAATATGAGCGGCAGCCTTTCAACAATCACCAATAAATTGCGAATTTCCCCAGGCTTTTATCACTGAGACAAGCTGGTGGAGTAAAACTAACCAGCGTCAAAAGAATGAACATAAGAGTCCAACAGGGTATGCACGCCATAAAAAGATAAATTAGAAGTCCATGTCTCATGTTAGGAGCTGACTGTCCCTAAGAACATGGAATGGGTTTGCACATAAGAGTCGAGTCTGCAGCACATCATAATGCAACAAAAAGCAAATTTGATTCTTAATATTGTTTTAATTTAGGGTGAGGCAACTTTTTGACGATGCTAAAAATTGTCCCGAGTCAATACAAAAGTCTGATGGCCGCAAGACCAATCTCAAATTTCTAACCAGAACTATACGCCACTGGTTCGGTCTGATCTGGGACATAGCCAACAAGAACACTGGTCTTAAGCTATTAGCCCTGAAAAGAATAGTGATGCTTGGACCATGTCAAGTTAGTCCTTTGTACGAATATTTAGTAAAAATGAAAAACTGTCTTGTCCGAACGAGCTGGTACAAAATACTAATACTACACATGTTTTAAAGATAGAATTCGAATCTTATCTGCCAACTAATTTTTATAAACAACGGAATGACGGATGCGTGGATTAACGCATAACTTGAACAAGAAATTCCTTGACATACAGGAATATTAATGTTACTATCGGAAACACGGAACATTAGAGCCTACTATAATTATGGTTAAGCTATATCTTGCTAAAGTAGATCAGTAGTACTCAGAAATAATGTACTAAAAGGGAAAAGTAGACGGCAGCGGCCGCCCACTGCATTGTGGTGTGGTGTGGTGTGGCGTCGGATTAGGGCGCAGACATGTTGGGTCACCTGGCCTCAGCCAATCCCGTGTCTCTCTGCGAT